GAGATTGCGCCACTGCACTCCAGCCTGGGCAACAGAGAGAGACTCCCATCTCAAAACAAAAAAAAAAACCCACAATTTGCTTTTAGAAAACTTGTTAAAGTTTTACCTTCTGGCTTTGAAAGATAGGGGTAGCTAGGCATATTTACTTTTAGACAAGGACTGAGTCACACATTAACTACCTCCTTAACTATTAGATTATTACAAATATATTTTACAGATACAAAAAACTGAAGTACAGAGAGGCTAAGTTAATTTCTCCAAGGTCCCACAGCAAGTAACTGCAGAAGGGCAAAGCAAAACTAGGACAACACATGTAGGCAATACCAAGCAGGTCTTGTGGCAGCAACTGGAAACCTTTTGGAGACACCATTCTGCATTTTGTTGTAGTCATACACAAACCTAGTTATGTATCCAGGCTTTTTTCTCATAATGCCAAAGTAGCACTATTCTAATTTACTAACACAACGTTTTCTAAAAACTACCCAAATTATTGAGGTGTTTTTGCTCACTTCTTCCCATTAGAATAAATGTAGACAATAAGAAAAGCATGAGGGATGACGTAGTCCTCCATCAAATTTGTCCTTTCACACAAGAGATGGCATGGTGTAGTGTAGCAGAATCATAAGCTGCCAGGAAATTACGAATTCTGTATTCCTTCAGCTGAGTCTTGGAAAAAGTCCAGATGGGAAACACTTCCATCCTGATGCTGAAGGAAGGAGAATGTCCTTGTGTGAGGAATTCTCACACCAACTGAACCTAAGGTCCCTGGAGCCATGATAAAAGCACTCTTCTGCCCTGATTCTTCTTTACACATATGTACCCATTCAGGTCTTTACAGATATTTCACAGGAAGCATTTATGTTACGAGTACTTAAAATGCACTCAAAATTAATATAGAATACTTTATTTACATCAGAGTGATCTCACATTATCCAATCCATTAACAAAGTCAACACAGGATGGAAGTATAGAATCTAACAGTCCAAGAGACCAAGATCCTAATCCCTTGTTTTGCCACTTGCTAGTGTGACAATGGCCAGTTAATCTATCATATCATTAGTTCCTTGTCTGTAAAACAAGAATAAGAAATGGTCACATATCAAAAGATCGTTGTAAGGATTAAATATCCTATATGTACGTATGTGTATATAACTTATTTACTATAAATACTAGTTGACTTCACTTTATTTCAAAAACTATGAAGCACATATGACAAAACATTAACAGATGTTATTTCTGGGCGGATGGTACTTATATTTTATACTTTTCTGTATTTAAAATTTTCAAAATAAAATAATGATCCTATATACTTTTAATACAAAGCCACACATGTAGGGCATCACTTTATATACAGGGAATCTTTACAAAATGAACTATGTGCTATCACAACGAACTCCTTAGAGCAATAGTTTATAACAAAGCAGAATTCCAGACAAGAACCACAGGTCAGAAATGGAAGGGATGGCAGAAATCTAATCTAAACGTCTGACTTTCTAGACTAGGAAACTTTCTGAGTGGCTTTTCAAATTTACATCCAGCTAGTTAATGCCAACACCAACAGAAACACTCTGATCCTGGTTTCCTAAAATGGTATTTAGTATAAATACACGTGAAAATTTTTCCTATTTTTAAAATTTCAAAGTCCAATTTTATAACACAATTTTACAATGCAAATTCTTGCTATTTCACCTTCTGGATTCAGCTGAATAGTTTTGTTTT